CTGTTCGCTGGGCACAAATCTGCGTAATAGGACACTTGCAGCGCTGACACTCGTCTAATTGGGGGAAGCCGTGGATTCCTGAAGACCACGCACTCAAATGAAGTATACGTCAATAGACATATCAATTTAAATGTCACATATAAAATGTCTATCGACTAGATCAGTCTTGATCGCGGCCGTAACAAGTGCAATATAAAATATGTAAAGGATAACTGAAAGCGAGCGCAGCCAATGCCGGTGGGATGAAGAAATGCACTTAAGGAGCACTCATACAGGCGTTGGCTAGGTACATAATCGTTTGTTGGCATGATTAAATAGTTAACTGTTTTTGTACACTACGACGAGCTGGGGAACCAGTCTCAGAAATTCAAATAATAAAGGTTATTTCGTTCCCAGTGTATTTCATATCCTTTTAAATATATGTATATAGGCCTTGGATGGAACAAACGCCCTTAGATGTCTGACTAAATACCGTGAAAAGCATGGTTCTGTAGATATCATGTCGCAAAAAGTAACAGATTGGTGAGAATATAAATATGCAAGATTAAGCCGCCATGGATTGGAATCCAAGAGGAATTCTGGGAGGGTGGCATGGTCGACAGACATTCTGTTTTCCCAAATAAGTTTGGGCAGGAATATTCAAAGTCAGACGAAACAAGATACCGAGAAAAGCAAGAATTGGAAGCCGAGTAACTTAAAATTGACTGATCAGCCCTGTCGAATTTAGCGGCACGATAATAAGGCATTCAAGGTAACGACTTGGGGAAAACGATGCAGAGGGACAGAGCCGCCATAGCTGCACATCTTTTTCCAACGCACAATCCAACACCAGCGAAGCGCCAAAAAGTAAAAGCATAACGCACAACCTAAGATACAACAGTCATTTTGTGTCGATCCTCGGTAAAAGAAGACAAAATACAACGGTTTTACTGCTGATGCCGCTGCCCCTGCTGCTGATGATAATGGTGGTGATGATAGTGACTGTAGCGACAAAAATGACAGCCACGACAAATTACAAAATAATCAGACGAATATGGCAGCTTCTCTGGAACGAAATTTCTATCGGTCAACATAGCTTCTGTAGGTTTTAAGAAATAGGATTGACCGGTCAAGAAGAGAAGTTGTTCAAAATGCTGAAGCAAAAAATCTGGTAAAACCCAAAGGGATTTGTACGCTGCATGACGGGTTATTGCACAACCCCGGTCCTGTTTTATCACAAATTTGTGTGCTACTTTAAATTGTTAGTAGACACATTGTGTAACAATTTTTCATTATGGGAGGAGTGAAGGCACGTAAAACTTACCATGAGTTGCTCATGCTTTTCTTTGAACTTCTTCAACGGGTCCTCAAATTGACCGTAATGCTCCAATACGGGTCGCACGTCGTCAACGCCACTCATTGCAACCACTAATGACAATAGAACCCGAAATAGTTAGTCATGTTAAATGGTCCAAGAAAATATGCAGCGAAAAAAATGGATGCAACAACCGAACTAGATCGACACTTCCTGATACGAAATGTCTTTTAGCTAAATTGGCGATGGCCTACATATTTTAATCTCGGACCTAAATGCTGAAGTTGAAATTGGAAAGCGGGAGAAACAAATTTCATTGGAGGAAACTTTATTCAGTTCTTTTGGAAAGATACAAAAGTGGCTGAATTGTAGATCCGTAAGTTTTCAGTTACTTGATTATCTTTTTCAATCATTGACTAGAATTGACAAACGATAAATGGAAACACGAACTTTTATTATAATAAACTTGAGAAGCGCGCAATTATAAGCCAAGATGCTATTTATACGGTGTACATGCGGTTATTAAGATTTTGTCGAAACGGAATAAATTAAGAATCTTGTGTATTAAAACCCCAAACGCAGAATGAAATTTGTAAGCATGACTTGATGACCGAATTACATAATGTTTTCACAGCGCTTTTCAATTAGAAAAGTATGCAGTTTGCTAACTGAGTCCGAGACAGAAACGGAACTAGCTTATCCTTATAATAAACGCATTCTTATGAGCAGTCTGCCACAATGTTCGATTTAGCTAATGTCGTGATGGAACCGTAGATCATGTAGAAAACCTTCCTATCAGTCTATTTCTAACTACAAAAAAATATAAAAGTCAAGGGCGTATGTAGAAAATAAATCTGCCAAAAAATCAAATTAAATACTCGAGGCCGTTGGCTTTGATTCACAACGTGCAGGATAACTGGACCTTAATATTCTGAATAGAGCTAACTTAATCAGAAAACACATGTGCCTTCTTTTTGTTAATCAGTCAGAGAAATAGAAAAGGATTATAATTTAGAAGCATAACAAGGTTTTTTAAGTATTTTAAAGATAACAAAATAATGGATAGACCGAAGTAGTGAAGGCACACTAACGAATTACAAAACGTTCTAGGCTAATATGGTGGCTCAAGTTATATTTGTAGGAGCTATTTTCCAGAAAACAAAATACGTATTTTCTTTTTACTGATAAAAAATGCAGCTATCCAGGTAGTAAATGAGTAAACAATTTCCTTGTTGCCACACCGCACCCAAGTTAGTACTTAGTTTGGCTTTTAAATCTCAAGGCTGGGATTTAAAGCACCCTAAGTAGCACATTCAGGTTAGAAAACCAACAATATATCATATGCAAAATAGAAAGAAGAGCAAGCATTGAATCGAACAGATCGACGATGGTTCGCGACAACTGAAGTGATGTAAAAGAAACGCTAACTGGCCCGTAGTGTTTCAAGAAAAAGGTGGCGGTTGACTACTGTCCCGGTTAGTTAACTGTCTTAATCACATAGTCTAAACGGCGTGGTCGCGTTGGTACTTTGAACTTTGCGTTCCTGTTTAGCATCTTGGTTCAACTTCCCTAAGTGGCTCTGAACCAATCAAATAAGAATCCGATCAAAGATAAATTGGTGGGCCGAACACGTTTAAAAAGGTTGTTCGCACACAAGCCGGCACGTAGGCCGATACATTTATCAGTATACTATTTATTACATATATTTACTGAGAAAGTTCGATTTTGGATATGTGAAAACAAGTCTCCAATTATATATTGACCTATAATACTACTAAAATCTGCAGTGATGTAGATGAATTTGTAAATGCTGGGTATAAGACATCTGCTTGCCATGTTCACTACTATTTTCGACAAACATTTTCTGAAACTTACTTCTCAAGAAAGCCGCCAGATCAATAAGCTCTCTATCCGAATCATTACCGGTCCAACGATTCACGATGAAAGAGTTCCTGGGCTGTAGGGTCGCTGCGTCGGGGTTCCAGTCAACGAGGATAACGCGAGAGAGATCACGATTCAGACAGGAGAGGTCTTTGATATGTTTTCCATTCCGATATCTGGTGGCTTCGCGGAAGAGTCTGTAGTGTATGTACTGACCTTGTGGATCTAATTGGGCCAAAATTGGCATGCCGGTCTGGAATGAAAACAAAACTGCTAAAACACGGGATTGTACAATTAAATACAATAACGTTTAACATGACACCCAGGTCGGTTTTACACGTCCTTCTGGTACGGGTTAGTCTCAAGTGCAGATATTGCTTTTTTCATTGGAACAGGTGTGTGTGGTACCGCAATAGACATGGGCTTCTGAAGGCTCACGGCTGCTAACTTAAACCGATGCACTAATAGAAATAAAACTGATATTTTAAGACGAAATTGCAGTCTAAATTTAATAAAAATTGCTAAGATATTGGGCATGATGAAAAACACAACCCGAGCAAGTATATGAACATATAAGCACAACAACTCACCATGGCTGATTCGTTTGTGAATGTCACGACTTCGTAAAATGGGGAAAGCTGCTGCAAAAATAACTCAAGAGCTGGACGTTTTTTGAAGCGCCAGCCGCTGCGAAACTAAGCAGTACAATGTAAGGCAGTATATGCGTACCCTCCAGTCCGGGTGTACGAGTACGTCATTTATTTCGATGACTAGCGTGTAGGGTGGCTGGTAATATGGAGGTTGAACGGGGTCAGGAAGAAGTTTTTCG